GGCGGCAGATCGAGCGAAGCCGGTCGCACACGGAGGTCGCGGGTAGCGAATTTTTATAGGCAACAGGACTATGAAAATTTCCGCCTTCGTCTCATTCTAGACATCACTTAGACAATACAACATACGTTGCTGTATGTTTGGTAGCATATAAATAATACAAAGAGCTTATTATTATATCGCTACAGTGAACGTCTTAAGAGCAAACCGAACACCTAGAAAATTTATAATTCATTCCGATCCTTTATTAACCGACAAAAAAGGAGAATGTTCTCAGTTCACCGCGATATTTTTTTTAGTCCGATTTTTGTGATATTTTCAGGAAATACCAATAATTACAGTGGAGATACCTTGATTTTTTTATAAATCTATGAAAAGTATTAATTTTTATAATTTTTAAAAGGTATTTCTAAAATAGTATTTGCGCGGTATTCTCTATTAAATCTATAAAAATTTGCTGCTTTTTGTTTTAATAAATATCTAGTACCCACAACACACCAAATCCCAGAGATATCCACAGAGTATCTTTTGTGGATATCCAATATATCCACAGGATATCAGAAATATTCCGTGGATCTAATATGGATATCCAAATGTCCGTCTATATCCAGAATATAGAAGATATCCTAATGGATATCCAGCAAAATATCTAATGGGTATCTTCCAGAAAATACAAAAAAATCCCAGAGATATCCACATAATATATTTTGTGGATATTCAATATATGCAATATGGATATTCAAATGTCCGTCTATATCCCAGGATATAGAAGATATTCGGATATTCAGCAACATATTTTATCTTTAGTAAGGGTTCATAAGTAACCAATGATTATTGAATAACGTCAAAAGAAAATAGCAGAGATAAAAAATATTTTCAACACTCTGCCTTTGATTTTACCCACTAAGGAGAAAGTCATCCTTATTAGGACTCTTCAGCAATAAATGGAAATGCTCGACTCCAGTCTCTAATGGAGTCTGATTAGGACACAAATTTCGATCGAACTCAATTACGGCGGGTCGAGCATGAGTAGATGCGAAAGTGGTATCGCCATCCATACTTAGTAAGCAAAATCAAATAACATCTAGTGGATATCCACGATGGTTTGCGTTCGCGCATAGACTTTTATATATTTAGTGGATGTCCATGGGATATTGAATACACCTTAAAAAAATTAATTTTAAATATCTGAACGGTACTATTAGCCACAAGGGCGAGCACAATCGCGTAATTTTTTAATAATTTGCTATATAATTACTATTATTTATGGACATTTGCATGTCTATAAATTACATATCATGGATATAAAATAGATATCCACCATGGACTGGACATTCAGTGGATATTGGGATGTGCAGTAGATATCCAAAGGATTTGGTGTGCTGTCTGATTAGTTTTTAAATGGAAGGGTTTCCCACTTTTTTTTTTCTTAAATGAGGAGCTATCTTTATAGACTATAATTTGAGTAAAACTGAATAAATCAATTTTTTGTCATATTTTCACACAAATCATTTTTCAAAATTATAATTGCAAAGGATGTGTTATTAATGACGTCTCCAATAGTATTTTTTTTTTTTCTTAAATCGTTTTTAGTAGATTTTTCGGTTTTGCTCAAATGTCTCCGTAGACTCATTGTTGCAAAAATTTAAAGCTCTCAATATTCTCGAGACATAATATCGCGAAGTATTCCCAGTGACGCGCTTATAAATACAATTATTCGGAAATATTCATTTATGCTTTCATCAGCGGTTTCGATTTTAAAATAACATTCTTTAAACTTTTAATTTCTCCTTTATGTATTCTAAAATATATATATATATATATTTATATTATATAGGGTGTATTGTGACTGCCCTCCCCCGGTCCCCTCTTTTTTTTGTTCGTTCGTTATTTTACTTTCTTTGAAATGTTTTTATTATTTACCTCACAAGTTTTACTTTACTTTAAATTCTATACTTACTGTAATTGGTATTTTTTCCTCTAGTAGTAAAAGTGATCGTCTAGTTAATTAATTGATAATTTATATACCCACGTTGTGATAATGTTATTTACGGTAAACCAGGATTCGATGCAAAGTTTGGTGCAAATTGATAAATAAAACATACAAATTCATATTTAAACTCTTTTTATTTTTCATACTTTAAATGTGATGCAATAATTAGCAAAGTATATTACAATTGTTACTATTTATTGAGATCTCACTTGAGTTCCGTTCAAACGCAGACCATATTCATTTGCTACCAATATATATTTTACTTAGGCTGATGACCAACGGAGTTAACGAACAGCGTCAATTCGCCAGTTGGTTAACTACTGTGTTTGTTTATATTCTTATTTAGGTTGATGACCAACAGAGTTAACGAATAGCGCCAATTCGCCAGTTGGTCAACTATTGTGTTCATGTTGATTTGATTCTATTCTAGATATACACAGGTTGCGCCCTCTTAGGTAAATATTTCGACGAGTATAGAGGTGATGGCCAACGGAAGAAACGAACACCGTCAATTCGCCAGTTAATTACCTTACTATGTTGATTTCACATATACTTTGTTTCAAACCTAGTAGAACGGGTTGCTTAGCGTATAGGTGCCCCCCCCCCCTTGAGCTAACGAACAGCGTATTGACCAGTTGGTCATATTAAACTTTACCATCTTGGTTTGTATAATTTATCCAAGATAGCACATCCCTGTATATTTCTAAAATATTGATTTTTATAATTTCTATTGAATTAACTTAATACAACCCTTTATATTTTTTTATATTGATTATTATAATATCTATTGAAATTATTTAATACAGCCCTGTATATTTTTTTATATTGATTATTATAATTTCTATTAAAATACTCAAAATTTCACCCATCGAAAACAGATGTGTATCCTGTCTTTCGGGTGTATGACCTGAAGGCCATGTGGTTTATTGATAATATTTTACAGCAAATGACAAGCCTTTGTCTAAACGAAACCCCGGTGGTATCTCAAAGAAAGTTACATAAATCTTTTGACCATTGAAAATACAGACATTAGATTATGTAATAATTTCAGCTGGCGTTGTGACAGCGTCAATTTAGGCACGTCGCAGCGTCGAGGCGCCTAGCGTTGAAGGCCTAGCGTCGTGGTGGAAAGGAAGGTATTTAATACGGTACTGCATTGGGACAGATATACGGTAGAATTATGTAGGTGGTGCGGGACGTGATATTATGAAGGAAATATTTAGGGACGGCAAACGTCGGAAATAAGGCGTGGTACGTTGACAGCGTTCGGGAATAAGAGATATTGTAGGATAGACGTTGTTTAGGAAGAATATTTGAGGAAAGGTACTGACTACTGAATTTGAAATATAACTGGGTACCAATAATAAATGAATGCTTGCACATCAAATAATAAATGAATGCATGCACATCAAATAATTAAAAATTAAATAAATCCGAGCTCCCTTTGGGTCAATGACAAATTGTTTAATCACACCGGCGCGTCTTAAGGTCATACTCATGAAAGTTCTTCTCAAATGTCAAAAAAAAATTCTGATGTAATTTCTGTTAGGGTAGGTACCCACTAAGATAAAAATTTACTGCTTGTTATGGAAACGTTTTCAAATAACAGCGTCGGCTCGTCTTAAGGTACCATTTGAGCAGGCGAGACCGAGTAAAGCGACAGCGAAGGAGACCGAAAACGGTCTCTTCACGTCTAAACTCATAATTATATGAAACATAATTGTGACGGCGCGACCTACAACAGCACTTACCTTTAAGGTCATACGCATATGGAAGCGATTCCCAAATGTCAAAAAAAATCCAGTGTAATTTCGTTTAGGGGATATACCCAGACAGCACACCAAATCCTTTGGATATCTACTGAACATCCCAATATCCACTGAATGTCCAGTCCATGGTGGATATCCATTTTATATCCATGAGATGTAATTTATAGACATGCAAATGTCCATAAATAATAGTAATTATATAGCAAATTATTAAAAAATTACGCCATTGTGCTCGCCATTGTGGTTAATAGTACCGTTCAGATATTTAAAATTAATTTTTTTAAGGTGTATTCAATATCTCATGGACATCCACTAAATATATCAAAGTCTAGGCGCGAACGCAAACCATCGTGGATATCCACTAGATGTTATTTGATTTTGCTTACTAAGTATAGATGGCGATACCACTTTCGCATCTACTCATGCTCGACCCGCCGTAATTGAGTTCGATCGAAATTTGTGTCCTATTCAGACTCCATTAGAGACTGGAGTCGAGAATTTCCATTTATTGCTGAAGAGTCCTAATATGGATGACTTTCTCCTTAGTGGGCAAAATCAAAGGCAGAGTGTTGAAAATATTTTTTATCTCTGCTATTTTCTTTCGACGTTATTCAATAATCATTGGTTACTTATGAACCTCTACTAAAGATACCCATAAAATATTTTGCTGAATATCCGAATATCTTCTATATCCTGGGATATAGACGGACATTTGGTTGGATATCCATATTGGATATATTAAATATCCACAAAATATATTCTGAGGATATCTCTGGGATTTCTTGTATTGTCTGGAAGATATCCATTAGATATTTTGCTGGATATCCATTAGAATATCTTCTATATTCTGGATATAGACGGACATTTGGATATCCATATTAGATCGACGGAATATTTCTGATATCCTGTGGATATATTGCCTGTATTGGATATCCACAAAAGATATTCTGTGGATATATATCTCTGGGATTTGGTGTGTTGTCTGGGTAACCCACTAAGGGTCAATTGCACCGTTGTGTTAAATGAAGATTAAAATGCCATTAATGTAAAAAAGTCATTTTAGTCTTCGTTTAGTGATTTAAACTTCGTTTAACACAACGGTGGGATCAGTCCTAAGAGAAAAAATTACTGCTTGCTATGGAAACGTTTTAAAATAACAGCATTCGATTGGTTATAAAATAGAGGTGTAAAGTTTTCCGCTAAATTTTAGTTTCCGTCAAATTCTCCGAATCTTCTCAAAGTCTCCGGAATGCTGTGAGTTTTCCGCCCATTGGCAACACTGGACGCGAAGTCTGACGTATCGGACGCTGACGAAACGTTAGCGAATATCTTGGGAGGGGAGAGGGGATCAAAACAAACAGTCACAGCGTCACAGCTCACAGCCACAGCCCCTCCATGCCACAGCCTTTGCTTATAACTCGCAGTGGGTCATTCTGCCGGCGGGAAAATAAACGCGAACGGTTTGAGGTTTGAAATCCATGTATTTTCGCGTATCGCTTTTGGAGAGAACTTACCAGTGGCGTGCGCATCTAAAATAGTTATTCGTTGTGTTTTCGTTCGTAGTTATACTAAGATTATATTTTGTATCATTGTTTGCTCTTTATTTCTTGCGTTGCGTTCTATGAAATTCTTATGTCTAAAAAAACGTCAGGCCAAGTTTGTGCAGCTACAAACTGCTACAATAAAAGGTACAATTGCGATAAGAGTTTTTTTAGCTTTCCTAAGCGACCTGATAGGTAAGTAGGTACCAAAGTACTTTTTTTATCACAAGAGCCAATACATCAATCATCAGTTAAAGAATCAGCTGTCGGAAAAGTTAGTGATATGGATATAGATACTTCTGATATAGGTTATTTCCAGGGCCAGATGCTCCCTTGTTCAGTTTTCGTCTGATACGCGCATGACGCCACTCACAGAGTGATAGAGTGATTTTCATTAGTACGTCAAAATAAGGACCGCCCATGTCATTCACAGAGTGATTTTCATTTGTACGACAAAAAAACGACCGACCACGATGCTCAACATTCTATCTTTAGGTGGGTATATCGTGGTTATTTCAAAGTTTTGTTCTTAGACATGGAAAGAGGTTTTGATCAAGTTGCAGGAGGGGTATAACTAACGCGCATGCTGATTTTAGGCCATAATGTAAACAAATATTTAAAAGCACTGTCATCTAATATTTAAATACTTGCACTTTTACCACCCAATATGCAGCTTCATTTTGTGTTGTTTTAAATTGTGATTGAACTATTAATTATGAAGTGCTTGTTTTATTGTAAATTTTGCACATCATATAAATGGGTAGATGAGGTGAATTTTTTCATAAGGGTGTACAATAATATTGAAACCAAATAAACATGTTACAGATACAATGGATACTACTACTGTTTAATTAATACGCTATTTTCAATATTTTCTTTTGTTATACTTATAGAGAAGTTTATAATAATTATAATAAATTCTAATAAAAAAAGTTGAATATAGGTAAGGGGGCGTCCATTAATTACGTGAGGTATTTTTGAGGATTTTTTGACTCCCCCTCCCCCCCTGGCGAGATTTGGTAAGATTTTCCTTAACTCCCTCCCCCCCTTCCCTAATCTCGCGTGAGATTTTTCAAAATTCGTGTTTTGGGTGTAAATGTGTTGGATTATTAAAAACAAAAACACAATATGTTCCATTACTTTTATATAAGACTAGCAAAGACTAGTGTTTGAGAGTGTTGCAATTATTTAAAATCAAATTAATAAAATTAAATGATAAATACTTAAATGGAAATTAATAAAAATAAATAAACATAATTATAAGATTTTTCCATATTTTATTCTAGAAATACTTTTACTATAATTTAACTTTACTTTCACGCAATTTTACACCGTTTTCTACTAGAAAAAAAATTACGTGAGATTTACGAAAACCCCCCCTCCCCCCCAAGTGAGATTTAGAAAGATTTAGTTTTATCCCCTCCCCCCCCTTGAACACCTCACGTAATTAATGGACGCCCCCTAATATAATATTTATAATTTTTTAACAGATGGTATTTAGATTAAAAATAATCAACACGAGAAAACCAATATGTTTTCTATCATCTGGCCAATAAGGATTCTTGTTTTTGTATCGTTAAACTGTAACTGTACGAATCTGATAAAATGTATCTACTCATTAGACAACTGTAACTTTAACTGAGGATTGATATAGTTTACTTTAATTTTTTGCACATATACATACGTTAATTTTGGAAAATATAAAATAATTTAAAAATATACTTTTATTTTTATTAATTTAAATTACGAGTTCATGAGCTGCTTTTAATAAATTAATTTACTCCTTTTATTATTTAAACAATGTCATATTTTTGGTTGTCAAGGGCAAGGTTATGGGCAATGCAATGCAATAGAGAAGAATTCTTAGAGAATCTACAAAATCTGCATAAAAGTTACAGGCTATGTGCAGACCATTTTGAACAAAAAATGTTCACAAATCATCTTTGTGAACGTTTATGTGCAAATGCATTCCCAACCTTATTTCCGCCGCTAGAAAGAAGAGCAACAGACATTGCTGGTGATCATTCATATTCTAGACAACAAAACTATCCTAGACCATTACTAGTTCCTGAGAGAATAGACCTAGCCCAAGCTGGCTTAGGTATGTAACTTACCTTTAAAAATAAATCTATATTATGTATAAATTACCTATTAGTATCATCATCATTTATATTATTTTGTATTTACAGGTAATCAATGTAATATGATCGATAGTACGAGTAGAATTCCATCCACCCAAACATCAGTCGGTTTGAGTTATAATTCATCACAGATATATGGGCTAAATTTAAATACATTGACAGAAGAACGAGTGCAGGTACTTAAAAAGCAAATTAATAGTAGTCATTCGATATTATTTTTATCGCCACGGCATATTCAATTTAAAATATCAACATTTTTTCCATTCTTATTTGATCAATATGGACGTTGTGTATTTCGTTAAAATATATGTCGTTTATCACATAATATATTGTGCATAAATTTGGTCTAAATAGGTATATTACCAATACCATTTTGACACATCATCAGAACCAAGCGAAAATAAAAGACTTTTGTTACCAATTTTTAGCATTTTGTTTTAAAATGTGTGATACAATTTAAAAGGATTAACATGGAAATGATATTACATTACTGTTATTATTTATATTATGAGGAAACGACGAAGTTCGGCCTGTACTGTTTTTCCACTAATCAATTTGACCACGAAAGTATTAAAAATAAATTAAATTTAAAGTCCAAAAGTCGATGTAAACAAATAATTTTAATAGTTTACTAATGTGTACAATCTAAAATCAGCACCAGCAAGTAACTTGTTACATAAATATGAAGGATACAAGTTTAAAATTATGTCATACGTCAAAATAAACAACAATATCATCTTGCTCTACCCACGCATTCAAGAAGTGTATCCCACATCCCACAAATAACAATTTCACTACGCCCCACAAGTTAAATATATTTGTGGCAAGAACCTGTAAAATATCATGTAGACACCAGTACGAATAAACCACATTCAGTTATATACCCCATCTCTCGCTAAACATTTTTTTCCCACTTAATAAAACCAACAAGAATTCTAGAAAAATTCCACGTACTGATTTTTTGACACGCCCTCCTTACACAAGAACTAACAAGAGCACGTCGCCGCTCGAGTCCCTCCAGTTTCGATCGTTCTGCAGTAAAGATGCCACGGAGTCGACTTTATATTGCCGTCATAAGCAAAGCCCCAGTAACTATGCAAAACTATGGAATAGAGATATTTGCAACAAAATAAATTAATTTTGATCGATGCTACCAAAATAGCTGCTTTTGTTGAATTAAAGACAATTTTTGGATAATACTTTTAACTAGTTAAAAATAAGTTTGATTTAATTTTTTGTGTTGGATTGTGGGTTAAAAGGTTTTTGCTAAGCATGCTCTACAAAAATATTAGTTAAAGTGTAGAATAAAATTGACTTTTTAGGATACATAATAAATACCGGGATTTTGCTTACTTTTTAAGCAGAAAAAAGTGTATCAGAATGGTCAAATAAACTCAAATATTTGTAATTTGTCAGTCACAGGGTTGGGCTTATGACGGTAGTATATATCTTTTATAGACACTTCACTTTCGAAATATCAACCGTCAACATGTCTCGTTAAACTCTCCGCTTCCGGCCTTTCAACAGACAACATACATCGTTTCGTTCTTGCTTATCGGCACTCCAGCCACAATGCCTAAACACGCATCTCGTTAAATAGACTTTCGAACCTGTAAAAGGTGACTTATTTCGGGGTCAACATTTCCACCTTTAAAATTACCCAATTTGATTATTTGCCACTACTAAAAGAGTTAAGATAAAATGAACCTGCAGATTTTAAAAGTAATTTAAGAATGGATGAGGGTACATATGATAAGCTACTAAGGTTATTAAAAACTAGCCTTGCCAAACAAGACACTGTAATGAGGCAAGCGTTCCGCCAGAAGAACGATTAAACTGTAGAGTTATTGGCAAGTAAACATATATGTAACTTTACTCAGAGGTGAAAAGATTGGCACCAAGTTATATAATTATATTTTAACAGTAGCTTTTATTAGTCTAACGTCTAAGATACATCTTACTGCCGAATGCCAATACATGTATTGCCAGGGCCGTATTTAGGGTATATTTTCGGGAGGATTTTAAAAAATTAAAAAATGAATAACTAATTCATTAAACTACAAAAAATAAAAAACGGAATAACATAAAATAAAAATAGTTACAACATATTCAACAAAATAAAAAAAACACGCAATAAGAAAAACGTATGAAAAAACAAACATAAAATAAAAGGAATATCGAATAACTAAGGCTAAAGACACACACGGATGTTTCCGCCGAGTCGACCGCAGACTCGGCTGGCCGCCTCTGCCAAAACACACGAAGCTGTTCACAAAAAAGTAATGCATTTGAGTCGAACGACGGTACGCGCGGCGGTGTAGCGTCGCTTTCTCGCAGCGCAGTATAGTGTGAACAACTCCATTTATTAACATTACAGCATCCGCCGAGTCGGCGGCCGACTCGGCAAAAACAGCCGTGTGTGTCTTTAGCCTAAGGGTATGGTTCGATATTAACAGAAATATCGGTTACTCATCGGTCCAAAACTAACCACTTTGCTTGACATTCCTGAAAAACCGGTTAAATTAGGGACGCGGTTACCTGAAAATGGTGCCTCACGTCAATTCACTAACCTGTATATTTTTACGGTTACCATTAAGTCGAATGTCAATCTGTCACAAAAATTACGTAACTCTCGGCCGTGGTCCAAATGTAACCAACAAATTAGTTTTTTTGCAAGAACACCGCTGTATAAAAAATCCTGGTTAGTTACGGTCAGTAATTGGTTAATATCGTACCATACCCTAAATAAGTGATTAAAAAAAAACAATTTAAATCGTTCTGTGACTGGATATAAATCCTGTTAGCGTTTCTTGGCCTGTCTAATTTCTTAAATTACTTCTCTCTTTTGAGAGATGAGAAACTTCCTTTCCGGAGTTGCTGTTGTCACTGACAGTGTACATATTATTTGTAGAAGTTTATACCATAGATATATAACCAAGACAGATAGGATTATTTACAAAATTTTTGAAGAATGAACGGTGGTGTCCACGGTAGAAACTCAATAATCGGATTGAACATTGATGCCAAGTTTACGTGCTTTTAACTATAGATATATATAACCAATACATATTACACAATTTCTGAAGTCAACGCGGATGATCCTCGACAGAAATGCAATATTTGGATAAAATTAAAATATTGATGCCAAGTTTGCGATGTTTTTAACTGTAGTAATGTTATTGCGTTTGCTTGAATTACTGTTAGGTCTTTAAATTGTCCAAAAAAAAATAATGTCTGACAACAGCGGAAGTAGAGTAGACCGCAATTAATTGTGGAGGGTCGTATATTGTTTCATTCATAAAAATTCCTTCGATACAGTACTAGTCCAGGAGCCAGTGAATTTTTTCGTACTTGTTTTCCCGGTCCGGGTATATTTAAATAATCTATTCCCGGTGAACTTTATATTTAAAATGGAACGCCAAAAGTAAGCCAGATTGAATTCGCGCATTACATCATATCGATACAAGTGAGATTGTTTACAAAGTGCCTTTACATGCCTATTTTGCCCATTTCATGTATTTGTTTTTAAATCATGTTAAATTACTATTTTTGAAACTCAACAAGGAGAAAATCCAATTAACTCTTCTGTTGTGTTGTGAAGTTTTATTAGTAAAGTATTAATACTAATATTTTAATGTAATTTACAGAAAATAGCTAGGTATGTATTTGTTTTTATATAATTTGATAATTTATGAAAAAAGGGAGTAAAAGTGGAATGACCAGTGGCCAGTAGGTCAGTCAATACAAAGTATCATATATTTCTATTATAACATAACTAAAATACCTACATCTTTTAATCATAAGGACATAAGTTAAAAACCATTTTAATATATGCATTAGAATGAAGTAATAATAACTTAAAGAGACGAGGTCTTAAAGTAATAGCTGGTACAGCATGTTTTTTAAACGTTTCCTCATTGCTGCTAAAATGAAATCACTTACTATGAAAAGTGCTCTAAAAACGGCATTTATAGCAGTCAGTGTTCAGTCTTAGGATCTCTTCCTAAAGCCCTCATCCAAGCTGCATACATATTAAAAAATAATTTAAAAAAAAACATATTATATACCTATATAGTTTTCGGTTCTGGGTGCCCTAAAAGAGGACACCTAGCCGACAATTTGGCTCAGATAGCTAAAACCCAAAAGTCACACCCCGAACCAGGACGTATTGCTATCCTTTTAAGTAAAAAATAACTACAAATAACTTACCTGAAAAATGAAGGCGTCTAACTTTACACCAAAAAAACCATACACTTTTTCCCATTGTTGCAAGCACCCGATGACGATTAGGTAGATATCAACTAGAAGCATGTACTTAATGGTTATAAAGCTTATTTTAACACAAAAAGAATAAAGCACTAGTCGAAAAGCAGCAATCAAATATAAATAGACCACAATATTAAAATTCAAATTAAAAACTATATAAATACTCTAAAAGCGCAAAAGATCAGAACCAAATAAAATGAATAACCATAATAACCTAAAAATCACACTAAAATTGCAAAAACTATTACTGTAAAATCATGAGATAACATCAATAATGCATATGCGTCGGAGTATCGCAAATGTCAAAAGTACAGTGTTTCCATGAAAATTTAGCTATGTTTTTAGCAGTATTATAGGACCATTTCTACCACGCGCATCCAACGATATTGGCGTTCCACAGTTCACTGTATTTTCCCCACACCTCTAGTATAAATGATTTGACATAACGAAACTAACAATAATTATAATTAATGTAGAGTAATAAGTGATTCGTGAACTGGTTAGGTGAAACATTGTGATATAAGATTTTATTTATGTGTCCTATGCGTACACTTTAATATACAAAACACCTGGAACATTCTTTAAATAATTGTGGTCGTAGAAATAATTGTGTACATAACTCGTTTGAAAGTGTATTTTATGCACTTGCCAAATATATTATCCATACAGATTAATCAGACTATTTTTTTACTTAACTTCAGTACATCTCTTACTACTAAAACTATTTTTATCAATGGAAAAAAAGGGCCGTTTTCTCGTATGTTTTGACGCATTTTCGGCCTCAGCCCATCGGATCCCCCCTCTAAGTATATATGAATTTTGCTTAGAATTGCTAATCCTACAATTCTCTATTCGTGCTTGCTGACTGGGAAAATAAATACCGAAAATCGTGACTGTCTCCTGGACTATA